CTATAAAAATCATCAGATTAATTTTTGTCAAAAAACATTACTCTGAAAGTTAGACGCAGTTAAAGTTATATCTGAAATTACCCCAGCATTCATACAAGTGATTTATGCATTCTGTCTTACTTATATGACATTGTATACTACTTTTTGAATATAGTACACTGATGCATAACGTTAACTGCGTATAACTTTTAGAATAGTGTTTAAATACACATACTTATTCGTGAATAAATTAAAGCGAAAACTATATCACATCATCCTCTATCGATTTTTGTCAACTATTAACATGTCAATTTAGATTGAGTAATATCAGCCGGATGTTCGAAAATTCTGATGTTAGTTATAAAGGTGCTAGTTCAAGGTCATTTCCAGGGTTGTGCGGTGCATTTGGGATCCGCCACGTAAAAGACGCACGCCACCAAAAGGAAACAACTATCTGAAGTACTAGATACCGGCATTCATCAACCTACATAGCTGTCTCTGGACCGAAAAGCCACTAACCAGATCGATCATATTGTGATAGACGGAAGACACGTGCCCAGTGTTTTAGATATGCGTACGCCTGACATCGACTTGGACCGCTATCTTACTGTAGCGAATATACGCACTCGCCTCTGTGCAGCAAAAAAACTCACGTCAACACACAAGGAAGGTTCGACGTTGAGAAGCTGCAATCAGCTCCTGGAGAAAATAATAGTTTAGCGAATTAAAAGACAGCAGCTACCTTGGCTAGGTCATGGACGAAAATACTCTAAGCCTGAAAGTATTCGATGCAGTACCCGTCGGCGGAAGCAGAGGAAGAGGAAGACCTCGATTCCGCTGGAAGGAACAGGTGGAAAAGGACTTGGCTTCGTTTGGAATCTCCAATTGGCGCCACCTTGCGAAAGATGAAACGATTGGCGCGCTGTTTATAACTCGATTATAACCGCGTAAGCCGTTTCTACGCCAGTAAAGAGAAAGATTTGATATCAAAAGTGTACTTTGAAATCTACCAAAATCTATTTTTAAAAAGTTTCATAAAAAGTTTAGAAATTCATTTACTTTATGGTGCCGAAGATACACCGACGCAGTATGTAAGGGCACCTCTTTAAATTGCGGTTAATCTTTTCTTCAAAAGAGCATCAAAACGCATAAAACTTTGACGCTCTTTCTTCCAAATAATAATATTCTATGATATTATCACCATAAACAGTTTCCCTTTCTTTTGAGAACCACTTTCCGCATACTTGTTTCTTTTAGGAAATTTTTCAGGAAAATTACTCGGTTTTTCTAGACAGTGAAAAGTTACTTGACTGACTGCTTGGCTGAAATCTAGGGATGAATATGACGCTTTTTCAGCCATATTCATAATAATAAACACACACGCACACACTAATATGTATGCTTATATATATGCTAATCCGCAAAGGAAGGCATATAAAAAGTATATGTATGCAAACACGTGCCGAAACCGGGACCCACAAAATTTAAAGACTTTAGACAATATAGCGCACACACACATACACCTAACAGTGGAAACTTATATGCATGGGTATGTGTATGGGATTTTTATGCTTTCATCACTGTCTGTGCGAGTGTGCTTGTGTTTATGTATGCGTTATTAGGTTTTCAGCCTAAATTCTGATTTAGTCATCCGCGAACGCATTTAAGCTCAGAGCAGGTGGGGGGTTAGTTTTTTTTTTGAATGTGTTTGGTGGCGTTGGCGTGTAAAACATGCAAAATTCAACACCGTAACCGTGTTTTTTCATTGTTTTTTCTCGAAATTTTTAAAATCCACTCACGTGTGCCTTGGCGGCAGTGATTGCGTTTATGACTTTGGTTTTCTATTACACAAATTCAAAATGAATTTAAGTTCGACTTTAAGAAATATAATAATATTAACAACAAAGAGGAAAGAGTTAATAAGTTCGGGTACAGTCGAAGGTTTTATATTCTAGCAATTTGCTTATTAAAAAATGTTACAACCGCACTTAGCCATTCTTTACTAATTTAATATCAAGACCTGACAACATTTGCAAATTTTGGTGAGAATAATTCACACTCGAACCGGCTCAATATGTCTGGTAAACTAAAGCAAATCATGATATATACACAGTATATGGGAGCTGGGGTAATTTGTGGACCTATCTCACACTTTTTCGTCATAAAACTATCAGACATCGTATGTGTTATTTTCACTTAATTTTTCTAAGATATCTTATATATTTACCGGTATAAACAGCATAAGATCAAGCGGAGGTTTGAAATCCTTTTATAAGGCCCAATTTTAGCCAGCTTTTATATTACAACATTTTCGTTACGTTCAGATTAAACAATACATATGTGATAGAAAGTCGAGCCAAAGTTCGAAAATACTTATAATATTCAGGGTTAGGACAAGTGCTGAACTGATTTAACTGTTGTATCAAAAGTTCTAATAAAACATTCAAATAACGAAGCTTTATATATATAGTTTATATGGGAGTCCGATATCGGCGGTCCCGACAAATAAACAGCGTCTTGGTGAGAAAGGTATATGCGCAAAATGTCTGGCCGATATGTCAAAAACTGAGGGATTAGTGTGATTATATACAGATGGATTATAAAGGGTGAACCATTTCGAGGCTCCCACATTTTTAAAGAAAAAACTTCAAATTTGATTTAAAATGTTTATTATTATTATTCGAAAGCACATTCTTTGAAATTTTTGTTTTTGAAAATTATCTCTTTCAAATGTTGACCGCGGCTACGTCAGGTGGTTCATGTGTTGAATCCAATTTTCGATAAGTCGCTCGAGCATTTCGACTGGAAAGTGGCGAATGACAAGCGTGATGCTCGAAGGCCTGAATCGAAGCGGTATTATCCGTATAGACCTTAGATTTTACAAATGCTCACAAGAGAAAGTCTGACGGTTTGATATCACACGATCTTGGTGGCCAATCGACTGGACAAAACGTCAAATTATCTGCTCACAGAAGTGTTCTCTTAATAAATCCATTGACGATGCGATGTGAGGGAAGTGGTGTCGCCTTGTAGAAACTCGCAAGTTGTAGAATGTCGACAAGATCAAGGGCCTCAATTTCAAGTATCAAATAGTCGGTTATCTCGGCACAACAACGGTTGCCATTGGCGGTTACGGATAAAACATTATTTTTGACGAAATATGGTCCGATGATTTCGCCGGCCCACAAAGCACATCAGGCCGTTGTTTTTTCTGAGGGGGCGAAACGCAGCTTTACAAAAGGTGAATTTTCTTTACAAAGTAGAACGATTTGTAAACGTTGTTCAGATGTTCGTCTTTCCATGATGAAATGCCAAACAACACTGCAGAAAAATTGCATGACAGCTTGACATCACTTACGCATGATCTGTCAAAATTGGCTTGGTAGCGAGTTTGAAGTCAAATAGCTAAGTAGAGTAACAAAAAGAAACTGTGTAGAATTGCTATAAAACTTAACAATGCATAAAAATGGTAAATTTCGTCTAATTGCCTGGCATTTTAATTACCCGCCATCTACTACAACTTCCACGCAGGATAAATTTTATGAGGCAACTTTGTCGCAAAAATCAACAGCAACATTGAATAATTGTTGGAATAAGCACGCCACTGCCAATGCCGCAGACCAAAATAATTAAACCATTAAAATTTTAATTTTAATTTTAATGCTTAAAGAAATCTAAAGAATTACGAAAAACGCCGTAAAATGGATATAAAGGCATATTTATACTTCTAAGGAAGTGTGCGCCTGTGGCGCTTGAATATAGCTGTAGAGGAAAAAAGCGGAAAATTTATATAAATAAATGCCTCGCAATATACATACATACATATGTGCAATCACAGTAATAAAAATTTTAAACATCGGAAAATGAATGCTTGAGAAACGCCAAAAGCAACGCGAGGCCGTGAGCATTCCGAATATTTGCGCTGACAAAGTAAAGGAATAAAAAAGGCATATAAAATGAAAAAGAAATCATAAAGTGAAAAGCAGGAAGTTACATAAAACAATAACCAAAGTAAAGTTTACATATCTAGTTGGCAAAGCAATAATATTGGAAAATCAAATGACCCACCAAGCAAAACATAAATAAAAAAAATAGAATTACAATATAGCCTCCAACTTTCTTTGAGCAATTGCGTGAGTTCTCTTCTCATTCTCCCCGAAAATCTCTCTTCTCCCTGAAAATCAACTGAGCACCAGTAACTCCGATATAAGTCTAAAGTGTCAGAAAGTGAAGTTAGGTGTGTTTGGAAGGAGCTTTGGCTAAAAGGTGCTAGTGATGTCACTGTACTTAGAAACGTTGTCTTAGGGTTGAGAGTAAAAGCAAGCCAAATGCCTTCGAAATTCTGTTGCAACAAGCTTTGGCTTATTATAATTATTCTTTAAATTTGTTCATTGAAGCATAAACTATAATCGGGCATTTCCTCATACCCTGGACGGATTTCAAAAACGGCAAACGGTCAACTATACGCACGGGGACCACATATTCGATATGTGCAGGTTTGAATGGTTATGCTTCGATTTTGACAATTTTGAGACACGAATTGTTGCTTGATTTGTGTAGTGGAAAGTGAAAGAATCATATTGTATGCATACGCTTTCACAATAAGATAGGATCGTCAGTATAAGGTTCTGTACGAAATTTGGTGGAAATTGGTTGAGTAGTTTCAGAGATATATATGCTTTTACTTCAAAGCGGGCCCATCTTCAAATTTTGACCCCGGCACTCATAAAGCCTTTTTTTCACACAACCACTCGGCATTTAGGTTGTCTCACCAATCTCATAATTTTTATATATATAAAACTCCATATCTATTTCGAATAAGTCTAGGTGCCTGCAAAATTTTCTATCAAGTTTATGCGATATCAAGGATAAAGTATTGGACCAAAGTATCATTTATCAGAAACTTTGTATTCTACATAAAAACTCCAAATTTTTCAGTACTTATTTAATTTAATTTGTTTATAATTTATTTGGAATTTATATTTTCTTGAGTTTATATGGCTTTCTTTATTCTTTTTTTCTTTTCATTTGTCATTTGATCATTTTGAAGATTAGAAGTGTCCTCGAGGTGACAATATTTTGCGGAAATTTCTTTGAATTGACTTGTTTGTGTTTCTTTGTGGCAACTTCATTAATTGTGAAACTCTTTTTCGATTTGCGTCCTTCTGAATATGCGGCCTGTGAGCAGTATCTCTCATATTTTTGAACACTCCTTCCTCTAGTGCTGGATTGGGAATGCTATAGAGAATAACTTCGTCATTTGATGAGTTTGGCATTTGGTCAGCATGAGACTGTTCGCTTTGGAGTAGCATATTAGTGTTTGAGTGAAGTAGACGGGTATCTTCGTAGTCCCTAAACATTTACGAAACAGATAAGTAAAATCTGATTTGGATTATATATTTTGTTTTTACTTACTTGCGGTAAATTACTTCTTGGTAAATTACATAAAATAAAATATAAATTAAAATATTCCCCTTATATTAGCGGATCAAAACGAGCGCTTAATTTGAATCTGCCGTTTTGTTTTCTCGATCAGCTGTTTCTCCTTTTTTCCATTCTCCTTCTTCACTTTGCTTTTGGTTAAGGCATTGCCAGCCATTAAAAAAAGGACTAAGGTTTCGGTATAAAGGACTGAACATACCCACTGGCAGGTGTTCCCAAATATTTGCTGGCAGAGGCATGGCCTCTGAAAATAGTTTGGCGTGTACACCAGAAAATCCTTTTCGGAGGAGTTCCAAATTTTTTAGAATGCCTCCAAAAGGCAAAAATGAGGAGTCCACCGCTGCTGGGCCAATAAAAAATTGTGAAAATGCCGACCAATATAACAAAGGCAGAAAATCTAAGCAAATTCAGAACAGTGAAACTGTCATTTTTTTTTTGTAAACTGGGCACAAAAATGAAGTAGCTTGAAACTATGATGTCTGGTCAGAGACATATTAATCAAGCTATGCGTAACTTTGTAGGCTGCATAACAAACCTGTACGACAAGGCTGAAAGTCCAGAGAATCCGCTGAAAAAGAGTTATGGTAGGGAAAGCTTTGCAACTATGCCCTATCCACAGAGAATAGCACACGAATGAAACGAAGCTGCTGAATCATATCCACTGGTTACAGATGAAGAACTATTCGCCATAGCTAAAAAAATTAAAAACAAGGTATTTTACCTGGTAACGGTGGCATATCAAACAGAGCTGTAAAGGTAGCCATAATTTCAAAGCCCACCCTTTGCGCAAAAAAGAATGGATGTTCCCCGATCCCTGGAAAGTCCAGCGCCTGGTTTTAATCCTAAAACCCAATGGGCAAAGTTTGCGAAAGCATAATAAGAAACCGCTTGGAGTTTTCAATCCAGAAAGCCGGCGAACTATCAGAAAGACAATTCTGCTAAATGGACAAACATATTCGAAGTCTTATATGAAATACGCGCCCCTCAGTACCTCGTAGGTTAGGTTTAGCAGAGTTCCGCACTCCGTCTTTTCATGCTTCCTCCTACTAATCAACAAAAAAAAAAAAAAACTGATCGCTTGTCTTGATTTCATTATTGCATTTGGAGGGGTTGACCATCTGCCAAGAATATGCACCTATGCACAAATGTACCGACTAGATCTCGAACGCGAAAAATGTAGCAGTGAAAATTTTAATCATGAAGCGTCGACAAGCAGAGATGATCATTTTGGTTATTTTGATCATTTGGACAAACCGATCCAAACGCAATAATGAAATCACGACAAGCTGAGAGGCTCGTGTTGAATAAATGTCAATCCCATTAAGTGAGGAAATTATCGTCTATGGCACTCCAAATGTTGCTCCAGAGGAAAGATTGTTTAGAACTATGAGAGATGCTGCTGGCTGGTCGCATATGCAGAAATGCGCAAATCAAAAAAGAGTTTCACAATTAATGATGTTTCCATCAAGAAACACAAACCAGAGTTGGAAAACCATCTTTTCTGTACACCGGGACAGAAACCAAAAATGTTATTTATCGAGCTGCGTTACATTGAAAAAAAAAATAAAAAATTAAATTATAAATTCAGCTTTCTTTTCATTTCAAAACATAAAATCATATAATTTCAAGCAGGACAACGGCTGCGGGGTCAGCTAGCATTTTAATAAAATTAAGTGCATACGTTTTCTTAAAAGTTATTATATTATACTTGTATTGATGCTTTGGCGCTCAGTATAAATGAATTGGTGTTGGTCTCAAGTTCATATTCCTAATATAATTATTTTCGATGCTTCGGATTGACATTTTTCACTTCAACTCAATATCTTTAATTTACTCTGTATGATTTTAAACGCAACCTGTCTAACCAAAACCTCATGGTATATAAGGCAGCAAACGCCAAATTTAAACTTTCTGCAAAAAGAGAGAAAAAAGAATTCTTCATAAACATCACTAGTAACATCAATCCATCATCTTCTCCTAAAGAAATATGGAAAAGTATAAAAAAGCTGTCGGGCTCTTACAATAATTTTACGGCTCCACATCTTATAATAAACAATAATCTCATTTCTTGTGCAAAAGAAATTGCTAACTCATTTGCAAATCACTGGTCTAGTTATTCCAATAATAAAAATTTCCCTCACGACTTTGTTGTCCAAAAATCCAGTATTAAACGAAATATATCACCCCCCACAAAATATTATTCGCTCAGCTAAAGAGATTGACAAGCCTATCACCATCCAAGAGATCAATAATTTTTTGAACAAGGCCAAAGGCTCCGCTCCTAGCTACGACAAGATTAGCTATGTAATGATTAAAAATATATCTGATTCCACTAAAACTAGGCTATTAAACCTATACAACGCCATTTTCTCTTTTGGCAGAATTCCTCAAAGTTGGAAATGTGGGTGTATAATCCCTATTCGAAAGCCTAACAAACCAGCAGATCAGCTGCC